CGGATATCAGAAGCGTTCCCTCTTCTTCGACTGGAGGCTCTCCTGCCAGCCTCTCTCCGTCATCAGGCGAGCAACCAACCAACCCGGGTCGACAGAGACTCGCTCTACCGGGCCGCGGGCCTTAGCAAGTTTCTGTTCACGGTGGGCAAGTCGACTGCAGCGAGCAGCACAAAAGTTTTGGCTGTCGTAGAGCGAGGCTGGTGTTCGCGTGTGTGTGCGTGCGTGTTTGTGGAGGATGTTCACAATCAAACGTTGGTGTACAGGGACTCGCGAAGTCAAGTAGGCAGTGTTTACAAAAGTTTGCAGTGAAGTTTGTGATGATGGCGTCTTATAGGCTTGTAGCGCTACTGAAGCCAGTGTGACATGTTACGAGCCTCGATCCAACAGGAATCAGTGTTTTGGTGGTGTTTTGTTTTCCGTATATCGAGGACGCCATTATCAGTATGGCTTTTGGTTTTCCGGTCGCACCCGCGGACACAGCATTGCCGCTTCTGAGGTCTGTGCTGCCATTCCCGTGTACGAAAATTACGTCTTGCCTGACGGTAGTGCTACTCATCTCCTTCGAAACTGTTCTTCTCTCAACGGTCAGCGACTGCACCAAGTCCTTCTACGTGCATTGGAACACCACGAATCCCATGTAAGTACGCAACCATCAGCGATACGCGGTACTAATTGGGTTGATAAAGGCAGATAAAAGCCCTTTAAGTTTTGTTGAAGTAAACACGTTAGGTGTCTCGCTTTGAAACTCTGCGTACTCTGTAGGGGTAAACATTGCGTCCCGCTATGTATTTATAATGGATTGAACCCGTAGTCGACATTGGTGGATGCTGGACACTTTGATGTTTAATTTTGGAATACTGTAGGCATTCAGTGGGCCTTCCCGTAGATCACGGAGGAAATACAAAAAGTAAACAAGGCAAGATGTCTGATTTTTTTAGAATTCTAGTAACAAATTTAATGCTAACAACGCAACAACAGACTGACAATGTTGTCGGTAACCCCCAAACCAAGATGGCAGCGAGCGGTGAGCTGGGGCAGAGGAGAATCCAGGTCGCCATTACGAAACACGAACGTTCTTGATAAATGTGCGTTCCTGTGAACGATGTTCTTTGTCGGATTCTGTTGCTCAACTCGTGAGTATTGGGGTAATAGAATGTGTGATTCTTGACGTCTTCCTGTCGGAAGCCCAACAAAAACTTATGTTGCTTTCAGTTTGTACAAAATAATTTAGGGTAAAACATTGGGAAAAAACTTCTTCGGAGATGTGTGTTCCAAGGTGTCTTTATTTTCATATATTTTGGATCGAGATTGGTCATCTTCCAAGCACAGACCCTGGAAAGATATGTGTTTTCCAGCGCCCTTACCATCAGTTGGAACAGGAATCGCGAATAATTAAAACTTTCGCACCTGAAACTGAGAAATGGATTGGTTCCTCTCTCGCCAATCTTTCCACTTGTCTATAATTTCAAGGAACGCTTTTGGGCAGGCTAACACCCAACCTTGCACTGTTATGCCTCCCGGAAGGTGTTTTTCGTTATAAGCGAGATTTTTTTAAACTTTTTCATAATTCCTAATTATCTGATAGTGACGACAAACCACAAGAAGGTTTCCTCTGTTACGAGTAGAATCTCTCAGGTGATTTAAGTAGCTCAGGTGTGTCATTAATCAAGGAGGTTCTGGTATAAATAATGGCGACATATTTTAAGATTCTTTAGCAATTTTTAAGTATGTTTTTGTTTAGTGTTCCAACACAATGTGAGAACGCAAGTCACAAAGCTGTTCGCTTGCGTAGCTAATTTCTCTTACTCAGATTCATACGATGCCCCTAAATGAAAGATTTCATCTACACGAATTTTTAATAATGCTCGTCACTAAAAATAAATGTCGACCGTGTTCCGAGTCCATAGGCGGACAGGCGTGTCCAGCCGGCTGTGAGTGAGAGTTTGGGGTCTCAAGCACCTGAAACGTCGGTAAACTTCTACCAGAGTACACAGCCATCTTGAATTATACTCCAACATTTAGTAGCAAAAGTGCGAAACTTCTTAAATAAGCGTCAAACGAAGTCTCGAAAAGGCAAGGAGCTGTTTCTGCGGTCGAGATTAGGACACCCGCTCATCGGAACAAGCGATGCACCAAGTGGAGTGAAGGAGCGAATCTTATCTTGTCTGTGTTTTTTTTACGAAACCTCGTGGCATTTGCTTCGACTAGTGGCGAATCCTGAATCCTCTTCGTGCCGAAATGCAGTTCTTACTTAAATCGCACCGCAGTGCTAAGGTGGTTCAGCAATTTTTATAATGTGCCTGACAAAAGCCAAACGAGGCGTCTGACGTCACCAAAAACAACGCCACGAGAACAGATGACACGCGCTTACCGTAAAATAACATGAAAACAAAAGAAACCTGGTGAGATGTAGAATATGAAACTCACGAAATGTGGGCAGAGGAAAGTCCGAGCACAAACCATGGCATGAAATGTCTCATGGCGAAATATAGTACTCGTTAAAACGTCGGCGTCGTTTCAGATAGCACCGGCGGCAGAAACACGTGAAGTCCAGGGAATGACCTTGAAATGGTGGTCTCTCGTTATCCCAGGAGGTATCCGTGTACTGACAAAATCGAACATGATTTTGTTGTTTAGAGACAACCTTAATAATTGTAGCAATTCACGCCTACAAAAATCTGCTATTGCACATGAATTGGTGCAGGCGACGGATGCATTTTCCGATTTGTCTCGTAAGCGAGGAATTGTTTAGAAAATATGTGGTCACCGTGACGGTGAAAACTTTGACGCACAAGTTTTTGAAAATATGTGGTCAGCGTGACGGTGAAAACTTTGACGCACAAGGAAATTGCACAATTTGTAATCAGTCGGGTAATCCTGATGGGTTTGCGCGCGTGATAGTAATTTTGCCAGCCTCAAGAATTACGCGATTTTCAAAACATCAGTTATTTTACGTAATGCCTGATAAGTTTGCAGTAATGGACAACATTTATGCAACGGCGTGCGTTTAAAATCGCCAGCAAAGTAGAGGTTCTTTAAATTGAAAATAGAAACGACCGTAGAGCTGATTGGCTGCAGGATTAATCGGCAGTATTTGAATGATAGTCGTTATATATTTTAATGTTGTGTTAAAGCGAAACGTTCGTTTCAGATTCCCGTTGTTCTAGCGAATGGGGTGGAATGCCCATGTTCAAATACACCAGCGAAATAAAAGGGTGCAGACCCTCCGTAACCAACATCATAATTTTTTTTTCCTGGAGTTTCTTAATTTAATGAAATGTTAGTAATTTGTTCCGTGTTCCGCAACTGAAAGGGTCCATTTTATAGTAAAAACGCAGGAGTTTCTGACCGTCGCTGATTACAGAATGGGACAGATCCTTTGTCGTAATTAAACATCGTTGTCGAGTGGTTGGTTCTAGTGCGTCTGCCCTGACTGAGGTATAATTAAAAAAAGGCGTGCCAGAAAGTTTCTGGATTTGAACTTTTTCCCATCGAGGACGCGATTGGATGTTCCGATGTGAAAACATTTGAGGCAGTGCGTGGAATCGTGTACAAGAGGGTCTGACGCAGATGAGGCCGTGATCCCGCCAGATCGCCGGCCCCAGTGCGGCAAACTTGTCCGCTGTTGACGTTGACGAGTCCCGAGCCACTGCGACGTCCTGCCGAAGCAGAATGCACGCATTTTTACGAGTTGTAGTTGTCGCGGGTGTGAAAACGCACTTTCTGTTCTGGGCCGTGAGGCAGTGCAGTCTCTGCAGGACTGAATTTGCTTTATACAAAAAGTATGGTAAATTTCTTGTGGGTTTCGCTGTTGGTACACCACCCTGAGGCGTGATCGTGGACTAGGACCTGGATTCAGGGACGTGTCGCTCGGGAGTGTTTTTCTTTTGTAACGGAGGTGAAACAAAGGAATGAGGAACGAAGCCCATAAATTGAGTCGTTTGCTAATACAGGCCCGAAGTACTGTACCGCAAAGAGAACACAACACTTCACCGTTATAAATATCGAGTGGCTAATTTTGTTTTGGAAGTAATCCTTGCGTACAGTGAGAATTATACTTTACTGATTACAAAAGCAGGTGGTGCATATAGTTACCACTTGCGTTGAAGGGGCTAAGCAGAGTGGGTTCATTTGCACACAAAAATGTTTCTGGAAGTTGCCAGCGAAACACATGACTCGGAAGACCGAGGTCGGGGCCGGGGCAAGCTTGGGAGGATAATACTGCCATTGGACTCTCGCACAACCAGGCTGTGAAGTATTTCGTGATGATAAGAAGGAGCTCAGTGGGTCGTATTCTGTCCCAGCTGTTCATTCAACCTCAGTTATCGCGAGTATCAGTTCCTTAGAACAACAGATGTTAAAGAGCTCTCCGTCTTTTTTTAAATGACTGTGTGTTGTTCGGAACCCACTTCACGGCTTCTGAATGTGTACACGTGTGAATGTCCACCTGTTCCGAGAAGTATTCTGCTGGACAAACAATTTTATTTAACCTTTTCGATAACCGGTGTGAAAATGTCTTCTGGGTTGTTGCGCCGTGTAATCTGACGGGCGATGATCGCGTTCATGATGTAAGTAGCAAGTACCCCTGAAACGTCGGCAGATTTCTATCACACTACACGGAACAACGGCCCAGAAGGTACCATGGGACCCCGAAGTCTCACCACATGGTATTTCCTTTGTTTCTTAGTGCTTGCACTGTTTTCTTTGGCGTAAGGTCACAGTGATGCCAAAGAATAACGTGGCGGTGCGACATGAGTGTTCCTGGAACTGTTTCCTGCAGTGACGTTGCTGACAAGTGTGTCACCGTGCACGAGGAAGATCTTTCGTATTTTGAATGTTGGACGACGCGTTGCTAAACGACTCATCCACGTCACTTCAGCTTCTGTCCGCAGCCTCTGAAAACGCAGGCCAAGAAAGAACGCGCGTTGCGTGGCAACGAGGTTTCAGATACCGACTGATGTATGACTGGCGTACCTGCATACAAATGTCGTATGCTCCCCGCTCCGAGGTTACAGACTCTGCTCAATCCGTCTCCGAAATCCCGCTTTCTTGGTGATCTGTAATCTGCAATCCGGTGTCGTCCATTGGTCGTTCTCTTAATCTCCTCTTCGCCTGTCTTTGCTGTCTGTTAATCATTGTCGCTCCTTTCAATGCACGTGCCGTTTCGATCTGCAGATCTAAGGGCCGAACATTGGCTTCCATTTTGTTGAGACAGCATTACTCAAATCCGAACTGGACTGGCTTGCTCTGTTGTATTCTCTCTTCAGTGCGCCATTAGTGAGGAGGATGATGGGATCCTCTGAGAGCCGGAGGGGTTAAAGGCACGAAGGTGGCAGCCGATAATGAGGAAAATTAATTACTACGCCTATGAATACAGAAACTAATCTAATCGTGAAATGGTTATACTTGTTATGAAGTGCATTTCCTCCATCGTCAGTAGTGGTCTGGCAAATCATCAGCATGATTCCGTTTCCACTTTCTGTCTAGTTAGTGTTATAAGATTGCTTACTGCACACTTCGTCCAGTGTGAAATTCTTGGTAGTCGTTTGACGCATTGAAGCCTGGCAGAATGATTTCTTAAAAATTTAATCCGTACCTCGAGAGAACAACGCAATCAGCTGATTAATGCCAGTTAAA